TAGGCTTTTTAATCAATCACCTAGATAATCAAATGTCACTGGCTATCTGCTCTGTGTAATTACTTTTGCAATTAAAAATCAACCTCAAGTTGCCTCATCTAATTAGAGGGATGGGCAGATTTTCATCGAGATTGATTTTTTAATAAATATTGACTTAAAATGCCATAATCTCATCATATTCTTTCATTTTCTTTGTACCAAAAATCAAACAAATGGAAGAATTAACAAGCAGAAAGATTCATAGGACTTCAAAGGCTTTTGCTAGTTCAGACATACAAAATTGTGCTATACAGAAGCCTAGCTTATCTCAGTCTAATAACACTCAAAAGCTCCTACCTTTTATTAGAAAAAGAACAAAGCAGTTGCACCATTAGATATTTCACTTCTTAAATTAGTCCAAATTAAACGAATAAACCCTAAACTATAATTATTTGGCCTAGGAGTGACAAAAATATTGCAGAGGTTTTGCTGAATTACTCTATAAATATTCCATAAATCATTTACTTCAAATAAATAATAATATTGGGAAATCCTTTTTCTCCAACACCTACCTAGAGACTGTCTTTTTGTTTTCTTTCCCTAAAGAGGAGTTAATTGGAGGATGCCTGTTATCACTCTGCATCGATAAGAAAAACACTGCAACACAGACTATTTTGCAGGAACAATAAACACCGATCAACACAGAAATAAGGTTTGCAACAAACAGCCACATAGTGAAGTAGAAGCTATAACCTAGAAGAGCTGAAAGCCTGCTTCTGGAGGTAGCAAAGGAATGTGGTTTTGAGTTTATTCATATATTAATTGTCAGAGCTGCAAAGCAGCCTGGAAGGTATCTCCAAGAATAGATGCTACCTTCTTTTTCTCATTTCTGTCATAGACTTGTTTGCTGCCTGACCTTGAGTACCAGGAACTCGGTGAATGCAAAGAGGAAGTTGTAGCAGGAGCTTGCTGTTACCGGCGGTGCCGGGACGAGCGGGTCAGGAGGTGAATCGCCAGTCCTCGTGCTCCTGGGAACCAGAACACTCCGGGTGCTACCCAAACTACTAAGGGAGCACATCTCCTTTAGGGCAGTTTTTAGACCCCTTTTGTGTCGGAGGGACAGGTGCCCGCTTCCCTCCTAACCCCCTTGAACTGGTAGGACTTAGGGCAGACCCTTTTTTGTCAAAAGGGTGCAGAAATTTTGCCTGCTTTGTTACACCATGCTTATTGCTTACTGACACCTCTCAGCAATTCACCCATATGGTGTTTAAGTACACAAAGACACAGACGGCAAGACAAAACTGTACGGTGACTCATCCATGAACAGAGGAGGAGAAATTATGCTTATCAACAGCATACGGATATTACATCTTATTTGCTAAAGAAGCTAGTTTGCTTAATAGTTGCTGATGACCCTGCGATAAGCTCTTTAATGCATGTATGTACCTCAGTGATCCAGATCTCTACAAAGTAGTTATTATTGCTTTAAATGACTGAATAAACTCTAAATGTGCTATCCTATTCAGATTATAATGAGGGAACAGGATACCATAATTACAGTAGCTGAACGAGTATGCCATACTTTATACTGCAACCCAGTACAGCACATAGCATTTCCACTGGAAACACTAGTAACTAAAGAGCACTTCACAATAACTGTTGAGACACTCATTAACCTCTGATTTGCTACCATAAGACTATATAATTAAGAGAGACTTTCAACAGACATCCTCGCAAGGTATTTTCCACTGGAGCACGCAGGGGCCTTAGCTACAATAACTCTTCTCAAGTGAAACACTCGGTGCCTTGTTCCCTCCTACTGAGGGGGAGCTATCCTAAACCGAGAGAACAATAACCATCAGATGCTGAAGGGGATAAAGTGGGAGGAAAGAATATAATCCAATACTTTTTAGATTAACTGCGTGAAGTCACCAACTATTAAAGTAGCGCTACCAGTCTGGGAACAACATCACAAGCACCTTATTGTGACTAACAATGCCGTGTTTGTATCAAGGAAAACAGCACTGGCAGCTACGTTGCCAATATATTGCCAATACATTTATTTTTGTTGGCTGAAAAACAAAAATAGAAGTAACTACAGCTGGGAAAAGATAACTACGCAATATCCTGAATCATGTGGTGAGAAAGAGAGAGATGGTGAGTATGCGCAAGCCAAACTGGCTCCTCATCAGTGGTCGGGAAGCTTTACGCTGGGTCGGCCACCTTGAAGGCCTTTCCCAGTTTTCCTATGCAGAGGGACTTGGTTCCCAGCCCTTCCTGCTGGGACCATGGAAAAGGAGTCACAACTGGCACCTGTGGTCTCCCTAACAGCCCCTGAATGTCACCCTGCAGAGGCTAGGAAGGCTTTGGATAGCGAAACAGGAGCTTCAGGAGATCTGCAAGCCATTTGGTTCTCTGTTTATTTGGGGAAATGAATGCAGATACTAATCTGGCTCTTGGGTTCAGTAGCAGATGTGGAAGTTGCATGCAAATATCCCTTCTCTCTCCCTCTCGCTAGCTGCACACAACTTCCACACGAAGGACGTCTGTATTTACAAAGACTGCGGTAGGCCCTGGATTTCCATCCTCCCAGAGGATGGGCTGGTAAGTGCTGTGTGCTCCCGATGCAGGACAGCTCCAGGTAGGAGCACCATATATTATTTAGGCCTCAAGACAATTAGTTTAGAATGCCTTTTTTTTTTTTTTTTGCTATCATTTTGTCATCTTCTATTTCAGCTTAAAAAGCCACCAACAAACAGCTGCAGCATCACACAGAGCCCCTGACCCTGCTGGCACTTTGCAGTAGATGTGTGAGTCCAACCTAAATCACATGAACACCTGAAGTTCTAACCACAGGCAAAAAGAGCAGGAAGGATCTGCTCAGAAGAAACATTTTTGAAGAGGCCAGCACAACAAATCTTAGAAAACCCAGATAAACACTTTGCCCTGTAGGAGTTTCCAAGTGCCTTCTCTAGCATATCAATATTCAATCCTCTCACACAAGTCTTCAGGTAGAAGCAGCAAGGTAACATTCAGAAGCATCTGAGGGAGTTTGGAAAGCCCCCTTTCCCAGGTGAGGCAGACTTTTAGGTTCACAGGTCCCACTTATTCCCAACTCTTTAAGTAATGAAACCCTCTGAAAAATAGATCTGGCATGCACAAGGACATCCAGCCCTGTCAGATGTGACTGAGGTAACTACTAAACCAAAGCTACAGCAGCACACACCAAGCCCACAGGTAAGGCGCCCCATCCTACAGGCAATTAGGCCAGACAGCAGCTAACTGTAGTACAATTACATACGCCTCTGTCCTGCCACAGAGCTCCCACACACCATACAGACGAGCTTTGCTGTTACCCAGCGTGCATTTAACATCTGCAGTCTGAAAGAAAATTCTGAGACGTCTCTTAAATGAGGAGAACACAGAAGCAACTTGGATGGCTTTTCCAGAATTAATTCACTGGAAAATGCCTAATGTTTCATTAAAAGCAAAGACACCGGAGTTGTAAAGTTCCATTTTTATCTCCAGCAGTGAAGTCCTTGACAAGTTCTAACTAACGCACCTTCCCAGAGAACTGCACAGCATTTGGTCTCTCAAAAAATCATTATAATGCGAGTGTTACGTAAAAGACTTACTCTTCTTGCATTTGGTGATAATGCTTTAATTTCTCTCAACAGGGCAGCCTTCTAATACAATAAATTTATGGCAAAATAGAAAAGGAAGATTAAGAATTGTTTTACATTCCGTGGTATAAGATTTCTAGTTATATTAGCATTTTGAGGAGGATTTATTTGGAGATTGAGGATTAATTCCCATGAAATCATTATACAAATTTCAAAATGTCAACTACTTTGATAGAGCTTATGATTTTATCTTCTTATTTTGACAGGCAACTGTGTAAAACAACTTCTGTGTAGAATCAGCACAGAAATAAAGCAGGGATAGGATAAATAAAGACAGAATGATCCTCACAGGTTTCCCGATCAGCTGTCTTTTTATTCTGATTACTTGTAGGACAGAGCAGTAATAGACATTTTCCTTTGCACAAAATAATAAGAGCAGTACTTATCGCTTGTTGCCTACAGCTAGTGGCAAAAGGAAATTAGAAAAGTCCAATGAAGCTGAGTAGTAATTAATCATCATACAGTGGGGCCTGTCAAATCAGAGGGGTCTTTCCAGCTGATAATGCTGCCCAGCACAATTTAGACTGATAGAAATTAGAATTCTTTTTCCTCTGGCAAAAAGAAAAAAAAAAAAAAACACACACAAAACGACTAGAGTTAGCACAAGCGTGGCCAAGTGTTCACTTCAGTGACTGCCTGACCCATTTGTAGGGGATGTTGGCATCAACTTAAAACAAAAATGACGAAACACCACTCATTCCTCAAGGCAAAAGAAATAAAGATACCGCTCATAAGGACTGCCTAGACAGTTTAAACAGCGTTAAACTGCTGGGTTTTAAGCACTAACATTTAAAACTTGGTTAAAAGAGAAAGGAATAAATGATCTTTTTTCTTCCCCCAAAGCAAATTTATTTTCTCCCATGCACAAGAAGGAAACACCAGAGTTCCCAACAAACAACTCACACTCTTTTCAGAAGAAATAAATACAGCGGGAATGTCCTATTTCTTGTACAGAAAGACAGTCTCAACACTAACCATGAATGATGAGCAAGTGGGAGAATTAAAGCTTACTTTTTCCCAAAGCAGCCAAAAGCAATTTGCCACTGACTTTACCAGAAACATTTTTAAGTCTTGATGAGAGAGGACCTAATTTCGAGCTACCCTGCACAACTCAAAGCACCCTACAAATGCGCCATGCAGAGTCCAGCCCAGAGGCAGCACCCAGGCACACCAGGGCCAACACAGAGCAGCCAAGGGCTTGGGGATGCACCCTTGGCCCTCTCCCACCAGGCAGTTTTTGGTTCCCCCACACCTCGACCCCTTGCTCCTGCCCCCAAGCAGGGAAGAGGCCGAGGGGACCGCCATAACAGAAGGATTGCCCTTGCCTCACTAACTTACCTACAGTCCAGTCTTTTTCTGCATCTTGTGCAGTTCACAGCCGCTCTGTCCTTCTTCACTCCCCTTACTTCCAGCTATACCTGTCCTCATAGCACAGACCATCACGAAGAGCCCACAAAACACCCATGGTTGTGCTTTCAACAAAGGTTACACACGTCGACAGACAACAAGATGGCTGCCAGCTCCCACCTGCAGCACTGAGCCCTAATGGCCCTGACCAGCCTTGCCTGGTGCCTGGGTCAGCACAGGCCTGGGCTGCACCTGGGCTGAGCTCCAGCTGAGCCCCAGCCCCAACTGATCCCACCTGAGCTGATCCTGATGCTCAGGCCTCTCTCATCTCTGCTTTCCGACCATCGCTAGGAAATGGAAAAGCCCACAGATGTGCTACATGTGCACTCTGGATCAGAGTGAACGGGGTTCTCTTCATTGTGCAAGATCTTGGATCTCACTCATCAGTTTGGAGAAATTTTCAAGGAGAAACTCAGCAATTTTCTCTCTGATCTACCTCATAGATTACCCCGAGATGGACGGGACCCATGAGGATCATCAGGTCCAACAACTCCTGACCAGGGCAACCTAAGAGTCACAAAGTTTGTTGTCCAAACACTTCTTGAACACCATCAGGCATGGTGCTGTGACCACCTCCCTGGGGAACCTCTTCAGTGCCTGACTGCCTTTCATTGAAGAACTTTTTGCCAACATCTCATCTGAACTATACTAAACCATACTAACCTTACTAAACCATGCTAACTTCATATTAAACCATTCTGCAGGAACCATGGGGATCTGGTACATGTCTAAGTACTTTATGAAAGACTTTTGAAAGCACTGAAATGAGAGAAGCGCAATTAAGATCATGACACAGGGTGAATGCACAGAGTCCCTTGCTTCCCCAATAAGCACAAAGGAAAGAAAGCTAAATAAAGGCCCTCAGAAATGAAGGGCCAAAGAAAATTAACAGAACACCTCATTCATGAAACGTGAAGACTAGAATATTTTTACTGTGGTTCTCAACATCAAACCACTAAACATTATTAAATAAATACAAAACATGGCAGAGTAGGTGACAAGGGCTGTTGACATAAAGGACAGTACATTTCACAGCACACTGCCATAAAAATACAAGTATAATAAAGTGACAGAAGCCATCATGCTTTGTTGGAGTGCTAAAACTGTGTGTTATGCTGCTACAGAAAGAGCAGAGAAAAAAAAAAAGTTTTACGCACACAAAGAACGGCCCAATTTCTTAGGGTTCACATTTGAATAATATGGCTGTATTTCTTCCTTTTCTTCGTGGAAGTAAGGGGTTCCATATTGTTACAGAAAGTGTGCATGCATGGGTACCTCTCTGACAAACAGTCTTTGTGAACATAAAGGCTCTATAAATCTGGTTCTATGTATCTCAACTTTGAGGGAGTTGAGGGGAACACAGTGTGTGCAGATAACAAAATTAACATCTGAAAAACACATTGTTTTCCTTTCATCTGAGGTATAACACAGATTCATTAGGAGATCTGCATGCTTCTGTACCTTTCCCCTTAATATTAGAATGAATGAATGCTATTTACATATGTCATTAGTGGGAAAATCCCCCACAGAGGAGCGCACTGAATCCTAATTTGCAGTGAATAAAATGCTTTATGATGTAAGACTGTCAGGCACCCTAGTTGGTGCAAATGAATGTTTAATCATGACAAAGGGGTAGACATGACACAGTGCAAAATACGTCAGACAGAATGACGGCCAATATTAGCTTCCAATGCTCAATGACTCTTTGATCAGAGTAATCAAAATGCATCTCAGCAACTGAAATGTTGCAAAAGTAACAAAATGCTGTCTTTTGATCCCAGAAATTAATCTTATTTCAAATGCTAATGCTTGGTGAGTATGTGCTTGACTAGGCGAGTGAATGCAACAAGTTCAGATGTAATGACAGCAGCATTTCACTTTTTCCCATCGTTGTTAATATGGGCCATGTTCTACCACGTGGACAGAGGTAGAGCTACTAACACTTGAGTCAGAACCCACATCCAATCCTTTTCCTAGAGGTTTGCCATCATTGGAACTACAGACCTGCTGATACTATCACACATAAAACGATCAAAAAAGCATTTTCTCAACACACTGTTGACTAATACTGTTGATGATTATTACTTCCCTTGATTTTTTGATTCTGTCTACATAGTGGGGTCCTTCTGTGACCCTCCTCAAATTCTGTGCCCTGTATAACACAAGAAAGCAGACTGCAAGGGCTTACAGTTGCTATAGACACTGCAACAACAGAATCCCCTCACATGTCAAGTAGTAACCACAGTCTTTTGTCACTGATAGCCTTGACAACATGTAAATCTCAGTGAAAAACATTTATTCTCCTATGAAAAAGCTCCATGCGAAGGAAAATAAGCAAACATGCCAGAGCTTTTATCTCCTTTATAGAAAAAGCTTAATGGTACCAAAGAACTATGAAGAAAAAAGAAAAAAGATCAGTGAAATACTGTTCTGTGGAGACTTCATTCTGAAATATTTGGCTTTCATAGTTTACACTTTTCATTTGTTCATGATTCTGCATAGCCTGAAGTACATTACAAAGTTCTTGTTGATTCCACTAGTACCAGATCAGGACTGCCACTTGAAATTTACCCTCGTGAAGAACTCCAGGCCTGTGTACCACAGATGTTGTAATCCTCAGATGTCAGACCCGCCAGCAAACAGAACATGGTTCTCTGTGCAGTATGACCTTCATTCCCTCTGAACTCTGAGCTAGTGATTTTGTCTTCAAATAATATAAATTTTCAATATTGAAACTACTAGCTCAGATGTCATAATTTACACAAATCTGGAAAATAACCACACAGAGACAAGGCATTAGAGCAAAACCACGTCATACACAAGATGTAGAAAAAGCCCTCAATCAATAAAAGATGAGGAAAGAAGACTTCAGCCATTATTCATTAAATGCACAGATGTTAAACCAAAAATCTGGACAGCTCGCTGTAATGACTTTATGAAAGAAACAACACAGTGTTTCCAGAAAAACTCTAAGTCTTGCAGGGAAAAATACTTAAACAGCCTAAGAATTTAAATCAGGATGCAAGAAGTTATTTAGGCCACCAGAAGATAAAATGCATATAAATCAAGCATATGCACTCATCCCCTGCTCTTCCTAAATTAAGTTTATATTTAAATCCCACCAACTCTAGGGAAAGCATTTCCATGGGAGGGTTGCATAGAAATAGGTACACTAGACTGATAATACACCATACTCATAAGTTACATAGTGGCTTAGTTGTGAGGCAAAGCAGACTTCATGCTGCTCTTGACCATTCTGTCACTGTAAGTATTCATGTATTTAAAATCAAGCACACACTTAAGCATTTTGCTGAACTGGAGCTTTACAGCAACTTAGGATCAAAGTTTGAGCATCATGAAAGCACATGGCTCCTCTTCCAGAGTTCAGTAGCTTAAAATACTTGCAGTTTAATGCTAAGAAAACTTAATGGAATCCTGCTAGGGAGAAAAGATCCCCTCAGCCCTCAGAAAATGTAGTTTGATTGCTGCCTTGTCCTCATATGTCTTCAAGCTCTCTATTCCTTTCCCTGCAAAGTCCCACAAAAGGTTTACTGTGGTGGTGAGGATGACAGAGGCAGGGAGGCAATACATTTTGCTCATAACAAATCCATCCAGAAGAATTCCCTTTCCTTGTAGATAAAATGGGAGCAGTTGTTACCCTTACTTACTGTCTCCTGGTCTGCCGCTACCGAACTGGGTATTCAAAAATCACTGCTTAAAGCACCTACCAGCACACGGTCTCACTCCAAGACACAGATGGAAGAACTTCATAGTTCCCTGCCCATAGTCTGCCTGGGAAAGCTCGCTGGTGAAGGCAACACTTGCTAACATCCCAAGGATGACAGCCTTCTCCGTGTTCAAACGGAGGTCTTTGAGGTTTGCTTTCTGGTCTTTGAGGTTTGCTTTCCACACCGTTTCAAGCAATGTAGCATGCAGACGAGAGATCCTTATTAAACATCTATGGAAGTCAAAATCTCATAAATCATTAATTAGCTGACCTGTTACTGCTTTACATTCATCCTCTTCAGGATTCACTCAAAAGTCAACAACTTCCAAATCAAAATTTCTCCCAGTTTTCATCATACTACTCGCTCCACCAGACTTAGCTGGCTAAAAAGAAGAGAGGTGGGTGGAAGAAAGGCAGAGAGATGGAGAGAAAGAAGTAAAAACAAAAGGCAAACTTTTCTCATTAGGAAACCATGTGATGTTAAAGAAGGCAGCATCTGAAAGCATACATTTATAATGATCCAGTCTACATGAATACTGTCTTTCCTTCGGGATACTGTTAGCCAGTTCTCTCATATGCAACTCTACATTTACATATAGATTAAACCTTTCTAGGAAGCAATTTTACACATTTTGTCTTAATATTTTTCTCATTAACATTGCACATAGATTAAGCTTCTTGAGAAGGAAAAGACATACCTGGATATCAGTGGCACAATTTCTAGAGATCATGTTTGCTTTTGAAGAAAAATATGTAATAAAAGACTAATAAACACAGGACCAGTCACAAGTGGATTTTCAAGAATCAGATAAAAAAAAGACAGAAATTGCTGTGGTGCTCTTAAAACAAACACTTCCTTAATTATCTCCTCTGGTGCTAAGTAACAATAGAAGGAAAACAACAGCAAAATTGCCTGTAAAACAAACTTCCCTCACAGGGCTCAGTACTTCAGTGAGGATCATTAGTCCTAATCAATCAGAGCGTTTAATCGTATGCTTAAGTTTAGGCTTACAGATAAGCATATGCATAGTCAGATAAGGCTAGGTATTGTGCTGAACCACTGCTGAAATGCTCAGCATCCAGCAGGATTAAGCCTGCACTGCTGAAATCTAAATTTTCTTCATGTCGTATTTGCAGACGGGGTGTAGGATTCAAATTAGAGGGAGGATTAAGAAAAAAAAAAAAAAGTCCTCATGATAGCGGGGCCAGGCTAAGCAAACATTTCATGTACACACCAGAGGAAAGATGAAAGGAAAGCAGCTGCCCTTCCATGGTCAGAAATTCTTATCTGCTGACCGAACCTTTGTTGGTTTGAGAAAGCACAAGTGGTCTGCATTGGCGGAAGGTTCAAAGCAATTTTTTAATAGATAATGCAATCAAAAGTCTGTCTATCTGTTGAAATATTTAGAAGAACAAGATATCACTTTGACCTCCTTACACCTGCGACCTTTGTCAAAGACTTTAAGAAGTGCTTTACACTTGTTTATGCTCTTTATCTTTAATGGGCTTCTGCATTTTTCAAAGATTAACATTTTGTGAAGTCCTGGGAGCAAAAAAATATATTCTGTAATTTTTAGCCAGTATTTCTATATTGTCTTCAAGGAGGGTGTATGCTACCAAAATAAAAAC